TCACGTGTGTCTGCCAGACCAATTCTTAGGTTTGTAGATGCAATATAACTATCAAGGGAACCGACATTGGATGAAAACGGAAAACGTATTTTTCTATTTTTTCACGCTTGAGAAAGCTTTTTCTGTGTGTTGCGAGCAGCGCCGCGCGAGAAAAGAGCTCTACAAGGCTCCCGGCGGTTACCTGATTGACGGTTTACCGCCGGATCCCAGTTCCGGCACGGGGTGGCGCTAGTTGGGCGACCCGACCAGAAGAGACAATGTGACAACTTTGGGTCGGAATACCTCGTAGAGCTCTTCGTCATCGATGAGCTAGAGGAATTCCGGCGCGGGGTGAAGCTAGTTGGCCGATCCGACCAGAGGAGACAATGTGACAACTCTGGGTGGGTTTTGATAAAATTTGAAAGATATTTGAACATTCATATTGAGAAAGCAGATTTTTAGGCGAGCATTGGCATATAAACTTCGCCCTGAGAGCAGCTGAACTCTCCCGAGGAAGTTTCACTATCGGTTCACTTCCAGGAACCGACCGCACATTGACATCAAAAAATACACAAATCAAGATTGTAAGAAAATATTCTGCAAAGCTCTCAGTTCCGATTCTGAGCATTCTTGGGCGTGCAAGGAGCTCTACGAGATTCACGGCGGCGACCAGGTTGACGGTTCACCGCCGGCGCCAGTTGCTGGCATTTGAAAAATATTTGATCATTCATTTTGAGAAAGCATACTTTTACGCCGAGCATTGGCATATAAAATTTGTTCCCAGAGCAGCTCAGCTCTCTAGATCCAGTTTTACTATCGAAAAATTAGGAGCAACCGACATCAAGTTTGCAACGAAAACTGCATATTCGACGTTTTCAAAGAAAGGTCGAGTTCATTATAAGAACAGGTATTCTTCCACTTCTGTAGTCAGTTATGCCGCGCCGGCCAATAAAATTCTCAGGTCCGTAGCTGCAGTACTACTATCAAAACACTCGAAGCAACAGACTTTCCGTGAAAACTAAAAAACGTAATTTTTGAAGTGCTTCGGCTCACGCGCAAGAAAGCTTCCCCCATGTATTCCGAGCAGCGCCGTGCAGACAAGAGCTCTACGAGGCTCCCGGCGGTAGTCTGGTTGACGGTTTACCGCCGGCTCCCAGTTTGAGCGCCTTTCCGCTATCCGGGTTTTCGACGCTACCAAGTGTGAACCTGAGGTCGGTTTTTCGAAAATTCTGAAAAAATTGGAAATAACTTGTGATTTCCCTAGCTAGCTTCCACACGAGCCCGGACGCGAACCCGCGCGCTGTCTGGGGTGCTTCGAGAGGCCTCTCGAGCACGTTCCACGGGAACAGGCGTTCTGGGACACGTGCCAGCCCCGGCAGATGGCTCGGGGGATCGTGGAGCAAGGAGCGTGGGAGCGCGGCGCCGCACACGCACCCGCTCTCTCCGAACAACTAGGAACCGGCGGTAAACCGTCAACCAGGTTTTTGCCTTTTGCGATCTGTCTAACGGCTGCCAAAAGCAGCCACAGGTCGTTTCTTCAGCCTAACCCTACGGGCGAAGTTACGGGTTACACTAAAGATGGCCTCGCAGAGGCTCGATAAAGCTTCGAATTCAGTGTTCATGGCAGAATATTGAGGGGGAAGGCCAAACGCCTTCGATTTGATCAGCACCCATTGTGGTCTATCCAGAAAGGCAAAGCTCCCATATATTGAATGAGATGCCGATGCTTTGATCAATCCCTCCAGCCACCAACCTGCTCCTGCTTTATCCTTATCGACTCCACCGTCGAAAGCGCCCCGAAGGGCATAGAGGTCATACTCCTGTAGCTCGTGTGTCCTATCATACTCTATATCTCTGACGCGTGCAATGTGAGTTAATTCATCAGCCCTCTGATTTCCCTCCCGATAGACATGCTTCCCTATGTCTCCTCCGACCGTGGCTCCGACAACGTTAAACTCTTCATGCAACTCGTGCAACTCATTTTGTATTTCGGCAATCTGTCTGGCATATGTTCGGTTGTGGATCTTCCACTCCCCGTTTAACCACTTGATCGTGGCCATGTTATCTCCCTGGATCTCCACTGGCAACCCTCGTGCAAGCCCCTGTTCGTACTCCCAGTCCGTCATCGTCGCGAAAACATGTGCGAGCCTCTTAGCCTGCTTTGTATTATCCGCCCGTGTTGGTGCCTCCTCCTCCTCCCAAGTGTTTGGTCCCACTCGCTTTTCTTTTTCCTGCTTAAAGTGCCGATCGAATGCAAGTCCCGTCCTCTGTTTGATATGCTCAATCCATGCTTTCCGCGTCTCCTCATCATGTGTCAAGTGTTTCCAATACTCATCTCCCCGAAAACTTTCAAATGTCCCGTGCCATGATGTCTGACCTATTGCCTGGCAATCAATCCTCCGTCGGTTTTCTGACACTTCTGGGTTCCTCCAGCTTTTACTCAGCACCCTGATCGCTTCATTGTACAAGTCCCGTCTCTCCGTCCAACGTTTCATACCATGGAACATCGCCAACCTTGCAGTCATAAAACTGCGGCACACACTTGTTGATTCCCGCCAAGCTCCAGAACTCTGTTGACTGCAAGCAGCACCTGTCGCGATGTCCGCCGTCTTCAAGAACGAGCAACAATCTGTATTACACTCCCATTGTTGCTGCAAGTACAACTCTACCAGGCTGGCGTGTTTTTCACGAAACTTCTCCCTGGCAAAGTTATATGCTCTGACACTGAAGCTGAACCATGTTTCATTGATCTTTTTTCGTACACCAACTATTTTTACCAAGCAACGTCCCTCAAACTTATGAATATCCTGCAATGCCGATTTGTCGATACTCGATCCTTCAACACTATACAAGAAAGTGCTCTGTACTTTGCTCACATACTTATCCCATTTCACCGTCCAGGGCACCGACCGACATCGATACCAACTGATGTCTTGAAAGAACGCATGCTGAGCTTTCTGGATCCAATACTGCACGTCCAAGTGTGTCCTCATTCGAGTGTGTAGCCGAACACCCAAGAAGGTAATCTCCTGCACTCGCGGAACGAAGAGTGTCTCCACCAAGTCGGTGGACGAGCCCGCACCCACATTCTGGGACAAGGCCAGATCGGTCATCGGTTGACCAGCACCCGCATGCTCAGACAATTCGTGCACACTGCAAGCTGAGGCAACAGGCTGCACACTACAAGCTGAGACAACAGGCACTCTTATCGACGACGACGAAGACACACGAGAATGGAGAGAAGCCGTTGGCGCTGACAAATGCGAAAGAACAACAGGCACTCTTATTAACGACGACGATGACACACGAGTATGAACACCTGGCATTGGCGTTGGCAAATGTGCATAAGAAAATGTCGTTGGCGCTGTCAAAGGCGATTGGGAAACTGGCATGTTTCTGTTCAGCGTAGCTGTCTGATATGTCTGTTCAGCGTAGCTGTCGGATATCTTGATCAGCGTAGCTGTCGTATATGTCGAATGAAGGTGTGATTGCGGCGCTGGCAACTGTGAACGGAGAAGTGATGTTGGCGCTGGCATATAAGAATGAGGAAGTGGTGTTGGTCCTGTCAATGGGGTTACTCTCGCAGCTGATTCCAAAGATGTGATCGCTGTGCTCTGTCTTTTCGCCCCTTGTTCAAAAGATTTGGTCGGGGTTTGAATCTCCAACGCATCTCCATCAAAGTCTACCCCAAACGTCGCTAACTCAATCGAACTGGGTTTCCATTCGAAGCCCCATTCACGTATGGATATCGCCAGTTCCTTCATCATCGTGGAAATCATCTTCTTTCCCTCCTGTCGATCACCTTGGGCGAAGATGAAAAAGTTATCCGCCCATATCGCATGACTGAGACTCTGGTGCACCTCCATCTCCTGGGAGCCTCCGATAGTGCGAGAGCTGGCTCCAACTTTAGCCTCGATCGAATCTGCATACGCCCTCGGTCTCTCGATGTTGTAGCCGAGGCCCCTCTCTTTCCACGAGTGCACTGTCGGGCCAATCATCGCAATCGTGACTAGCACAAATAAGATGGGGCTCTCAACCCCTCCCGTCCTAACACAGGTGTCCCACGGCACTGTTTCGCACTGGGTACTCTGGAAATTTGCCGTCGCCGTGTTTCTCAGCATCGGCTCCAAGATAGCATACTGAAAAGAAGAAGGAACCCCCAGCTCTCTCATTGCTTTCACACACGTCGTAAGTCGAAGGTGATCGTACGCTTTCAGAATATCACAACTGCAGAGCCAAAAGCTCTGGCCCTTCCCCCAAATCGAGGCATGTTTACCGATAGGTTTAATCATCGAGGTGACCTCCGTCGTTTTTCTCCCAGACATAAACCCATATACATTCACCTCGGGATCCAAGTTTTTGGCCGGGAACCTCTCCAGGACCACAACCAGGGAAAGCGAATACCACTTAGTTAAGCATGAAGAAACTGCAATCGCTCTGGCATCCTCCAAACTCGTAATCTTCTCACTCTTGGGGATGAGCGTGAGTACTATCCTGCGCCAGTCCCCTGGCGTCGGCTCCCGCCCCTCATATATCGCCGAAAACGTCTTAAATATCTCCTGAAGGTTCCCGAAGCCTAGATTCTTCAGCATGCTAACCGTGATCCCGTCCTCCCCCGTCTGCTTGCCCACCGACAGTCTGGATCTGGCATCCATCATCGCACTAAAGTCGAAAGTCAACCTGATGGTGTCCGTCTGGGCCTGGTCCCTGAGCTCCTCCATCACCTCCTCCGTCCCCCTCCTGATCTGCTCATTCGTAAACTTCCCCTTGGTATGCTCATACAGTGCCGAACTCCATTTTGTTTGATCCTCCTCCATCCTCCCATTGATGTTTAACTTAGTGATCATCTCGGTCCTGGTTACCTTCTTTGATCTGCTGGCATACTTAAGCATGGCACACTTTAGGGCATTCTTTTCCTTTCTCAACTGTCGGTTTATCTCTTTCCTCCCCTCCTCGTCCTCCCATTGTTTCAACCTTTTGGCTCTTTCCAGGGCTTTGTGTTTATCTGACTTCTGAGGCACCTCTCGAATCATCTGCTTCGTCGGGATCCCCTCCGCCGCACCTAGCATCACCTCGGACAACTCACCTGGTGGCACGTAGTCTCCCCCCCCCCCCCGCTCCGTCACTAACCTGTCGTAGTTCTGGGCTGAGAACAATCTGCGGCCTGGCTCGGTCTCTGGCTCCCATTTGGGGCGCATGGGTCGCCTCGTTTTTGCTCTCGGGGCCGGGCGGATCGACACGGGCAACTCCAGCAACACCGCTGCATGATCCGACGTCTCATTGCCTGTGTCCCTGACGTCCTGCCACTGAACTCTAGCCCCCCCCCCACCACGCTGGAGCAAAGATGTAATCGAGCACCTGCGGTAACTTATGTGCACGAGCGAAATGCGTTGGGAGCCGTTCCTGAAACGTGTTCGTCGCCACAAGGTCCAGCTCAACAATAAGGTCGACTAGGGCTTCACGCATCATACGTTTCCTCCTCGTCCTCTCCGTTTCGAAGCCTCCCACCGCCTGTCCCGCCTGCAAGTCCGTGCGTACACCTCCTCCAGTGACCTCCTTTCCTCCTTCACCCCGTACATGTGCAGGCAACTCCACATTCGCATCTGTCAAGATGGCCACCTCAAAATCTTTCCCCCCTTCTTGCTCAAACTGCACACGTGCCGCCTGGATCTTCGCCCTCACCAAGTTGGCTAGGGCATTGAACTCTGCCACCGCATTCCTTCTCCCCTCATGTGGAAAGTAAGCCGAGACAACGATGATTTTGCCGACTACGATGAGCACAACCCGATTTGACTGGTTGTCCGTGTATCTAATAGGAACACTCGCTCGGAACATGAAACCCGCTAGCTTGTCTTTACTACGCAACAATATCCATCCCTCTTTTGAAATGATACTCTGGGTAAGGTGCAGACACTCCTGGAGGCCCACCAAAGCAACACTTCTCCCATGCATTTGAATTCGTTGTATAACTTGAGTTGTTTTGTCTTTACCTGCCCTCCAGACGTTCCAACTCATCAAACTTCCTTTCAGATCACATCTGGAGTGGCCCCGTCAGGCTAGGGCCTCAAGGTCTGCTTTGAACTTTCCCGCTGTGAACGTCGGCATCAGGGTCATCATCGAATCATTGTGAATCGTCAAACCTGCTGTCTCCGTCCACTCCGCAAGCGACACTGGGCGAGTCTGGCTGTCGGGTGCGATCGTGAGAATCTCCGTCAATGGAGGCCCTGCTTTTCCCCTCACCTCTGGCACATTCTGGGCGACATTAGCGGCGTCCTGGTACATTTGACGATGTTTCCAAATCTCTTTAAACTGGCCGATCTTGGCGATGCGTGGGCGCTTCCACGGTGCACTCTCAATCACACACCTGACGTTTCCTCCTGTGAAAGTATCTGGCTTTGACGTCATACCCGTGATGAGCGGCCCCTGCGGCAACACGCGAACATGAAGATCTATGTTACGTTTGATCTCCCACAACTGGCTGGAATCTGTACCTCGCGTTGCAATCAAACTCACTTTTGATATAAGCGAACGAGTGTTTCGACGGCCCTGATTATCAGTATAAACTCCCATCATTTCCAAACTGGCTTTCTGATCGATCCTCTGCCTCAAATCATCCGATAAGATGGCCATGACATTCTCAATCAGTTTCTCTGCATCGTATGGGGTCAACATTTCTGCCGTACGCATTGGGGGATCTTTCCAATGAACAACCCATCCTTTGATTTCGATCTTCGATGCACTCCATGCGCCCTGGGCTCCTTTTCCCAATCCTTTTGCCAGCCCCCATGCTAAGTTCGAAGTGGTGCCCGTTCCCGTCGAACCTGATGCAATGCTTCCACTCTTTCCCGCCTCCCTTTTGAACTCCGTAAACTGCTTTTGCAAATCGTCCATCTTAATATCTGCTTCATCTTGGCGCCTCTGAATGTTTCCAACCTCATTTTGTAAACTCTTGACCTTACGCTCTGTCTTACGTGTGTTCTTGCTAATTGCTTTGTTCATGTTAAACATCTGTTGCTGCCAATTTACTGGATCAAACTGCTCTCCATCGGAACTGATTGAATCATCCAGTCCATCCATGCCTGCATTTCCTCTTGCTGCGTCCTCTCCCTCATCCCCTGCCCTCCGTCGGCGACGACCATTGGCGGGTGTCACGTCTATTGGAGCTGCTGCTGCTGCTGCCATTGAGGTTGCTGCTGCATCGTTGAGGGCCATATTTCCTACAATGTCAGTCGCAATACTCCACTTTTGCAAAAACTGCTGATCTTCCCATCGACGTCGCTTCTCCTCTTGCCGTTGAATGAAAATATTGTCCCGTCGCTGGTATTCTGAAACGTGCTCAGGCTCAACTACTGCCGTTGCTCCGAAAATGATGGTATACAATCGAAACGAAAGATGCTAGCCTCACTCTCCCCACGGAGGCTCGATGCGATCTGGTGTGTTCGTTACCGCTGGGTAAACAAAGCTCAGCCCACTGATCACTGGCGCACAACTACGAGGAGGTACCCCAGGCAGTCGTAGCTGTACGCGTCCGTGACCTTGAGCCACCACACCTTGAGCCAACACACCTTGAGCCAACACCGTGACCTTGAGTCAACCAGGCTACCGCCGGGCACCTCGTAGAGCTCTTTTCTTGCACAGCGCTCCTCTGAACACATGAGGAAGATTCTGAAGCGAGAGCCGAAAAACTCGAAAAATCTAGTTTTTTCGGATTTCATCCCAAGTCGGTTCCTCCAAGTGTTTGATAATAATATTGCAGCTACGGACCTGAGAATTGAACTGGCAGACGCGGCATAACCCACTACAGGTGCGGAAAATCAGCTTTCTCAAAATGAATTGTCAAACTGGGAACCGGCGGTAGACCGTCAACCTGGCTACCGCCGGGAACCTCGTAGAGCTCTTTTCTTGCACGGCGATTGTCAGAACACATGAAGAAAGCTTCTGGAGCCAGAAACGAAAAACTCGAAAAATCACGTTTTTCTGTTTTTATCCAACGTCGGTTCCTCCAAGTGTTTTGATAGTAATACTGCACCTACGGACCTGAGAATTTGACTGGCAGACGCGGCATAACCCACTACAGGTGCGGAAAATCAGCTTTCTCAAAATGAATTGTCAAACTGGGAACCGGCGGTAGACCGTCAACCTGGCCACCGCCGGGAACCTCGTAGAGCTCTTTTCTTGCACGGCGATTGTCAGAACACATGAAGAAAGCTTCTGGAGCAGGTGCGAAAAATCTGGTTTCTCAAAATAAATGGTCAAATATCTTTCAAATCTTAGCAAAACCGACCCAAATGTGACACATTGTCTCTTTTGGTCGGGTCGGCCAACTGGCGCCGGCGGTGAACCGTCAACCTGGTCACCGCCGGGAACCTCGTAGAGCTCCTTGCACGCGTAAGAGTGCTCAGATCCGAAGCAGACCGCTTCTGGGAGCATGTCTAGAAAAACGTCAAATTTGCATTTTTTTCGGTGTCAACGCGATGTCGGTTGCTCCAAATGCTTCGGTAGAAAAACTCTATCTAGAGAGCTGAGCTGCTCTCAAAACAAAGTTTAGACACTAATGCTCGGAGTAAAAATCTGCTTTCTCAAAATGAATGGTCAAATATCTTTCAAATCTTAGCAAAACCGACCCAAAGTCACCACATTGTCCTTTCTGGTCGGGTCGGCCAACTAGCTCCACCCCGCGCCGGAATTCCTCTAGCTCATCGATGACGAAGAGCTCTACGAGGTACTGGCGCCGGCGGTGAACCGTCAACCTGGTCACCGCCGGGAACCTCGTAGAGCTCCTTGCAACCGCAAGAAAGCTCAGGATCGAAGCGGAGAGCTTCTGGGAGCTTTTCTAGAAAAACGTCAAATTCAAATTTTTCGGAGTCAACATGAAGTCGGTTCCCGGAAGTGAACTGGTACTAAAACTGGCTCTAGAGAGCTGAGCTGCTGAGCGAACGAAGTTTATGCCAATGCTCGGCGTAAAAATCTGCTGTCTCAAAATGAATTGTCAAATATCTTTCAAACTGGGCGCCGGCGGTAAACCGTCAACCTGCAGGGACCTCGTAGAGCTCTTCTTGCCCAGCTCCTCGGAACACGTGAAGCAAGCTTAAGCGAGAGCCAAAAAACTTTAAACAAATCGGTCGCATACAATAGTTTTGCGCACTTAGCTCGAGAAGCAGACTCTGTTCAGAGCTCAAGATGCTTCAGCCAAACGCTCTTGATGATTCTGCATCGATTTCTGTGCGCACCCGCTCTGTAGCTGTTCTACAGCTAGAATAAAGTGCAGAATACCGACAGCGCCTCTAAAGAGAACTTGAGAAATACGAACAGCGTTGTGGACCCAGCTCGAGTAGCAGAACGAGTTCAGGCCTCCCGATGCAACAGGCGCACGCGCCTGGAGATACTGAATCGGTTTATGTGCGCACCAGCTCTGTAGCTCCTCTGAATCTTGAGTTGAGTTCAGAAAACCGACATCACTGGTCAAGATGACTCGAATAACACTAATAGTTTGACGGACCTAGCTCGAGTCCAGACCGAGTTCAGGCCTCTGGATGCAACAGACGAACGCGCCTGATGATTCTGAATCGGTTTCTGTAAGTATCAGCTCTGTGGCTCTCCGAAATCTCGAGTTAAGTACAGAAAACCTTGAACGCATGTCAAGATGACTCGGAACGCAGTTGTTTCCAGCAAGTCTTTGGATAGTAATATTGCAGCTACGGACCTAATTTAACTGGCAGACGCGGCATAACCCATTACACGTGAGGAAAATACCGGTTCTCAAAATGAATGGTCAAGATCTTTCAAATCAAAGCAAAAGCAACCCAAAGTTGACACTGGGCGCCGGCGGTAAGCCGTCAACCTGGTTTTTTGAGTTTGAGTCAGGGCGCGGACAGCTGTGACAGCTGAGCCCTAAAACTCCCAAACGGAGCACAGGGTAGCTAGAGAAGGCACCTCTTATCATCACACTGCCGAGCCACTGAGGCATAGGCATCGGAATAGGATGCAGGAACAAGGAAAAGGATGCAGCACAACATGTGAGAATGCAAAGGTGTTGGAACAGGTTGGAGAATGGTGTAAGAGCTGGTTGAAACGCTACCCAAAACGTGTTCCACGGCCATACAGTGCCGTTTTACTGCATTGATCAAAGCAACAGCCGATCAGCAGCATATACTTCCACAGACCGCCCTCCAACGAAGAAAGGGAACTCGTAGAGCTCTTCTTGCCCAGCCCCTCGGAACACGTGAAGCAAGCTTAAGCGAGAGCCAAAAAACTCCAAAAAATCGGTCGCATACAAATAGTTTCGCGGACTTAGCTCGAGAAGCAGACTCTGTTCAGAGCTCTAGATGCTTCAGCCAAACGCTCTTGATGATTCTGTACCTCGTAGAGCTCTTCGGCATCGATGAGCTAGAGGAATTCCGGCGCGGGATGGAGCAAGTTGGACCACCCGGCCCGGGCGGACAATGCGACAACATGTTGCTGAGATTTGAAAGATATTTGACGCTTTATTTTGAGAAAGCATATTTCTACGCTGATCATTCGCATATAAGCTTTACTCTGAGAGCAGCTCAGCTCTGCTGACGCATTTTCTTATGAATTGCTTCCCGGGAACAGAGCTAATATGAACATCGAAAAAATCCAGAAACAAAAAAAAAAACAAAAAATTCATTTTGCTATCCTACTTCGATTCTGAGCACTCTCACTGGTGCAAGCAGCTCTACGAGGTTTCCGGCGGTCCCCAGGTTGACGGTTCACCGCCGGCGCCAGTCTCGGTTTCTGTGCGTACCAGCTCTGTAGCTGTGCTACAGCTAGAGTGAAGCGCAGAACACCGACAGCGCCTCTAAAGAGAAC